CCTAGGACACCTCACCCCCAGCGTCCCCCTCTCCCCATCCACCCCACCCCTTGGGCGCCCCTTCCATCCACCTCCCGAGCACCCCATCCCCAGACACACCCCGTCACTCGGGCTCCTCCTCCCCCCAGTCCCTGGGCACCCCATCCCTGAGGTATCCCGTAGTCTGGCACCCCACTGAGTGGAGCACCCCATCCCTCACCCCAAAATACCCCATCCCCTGGGACACCACCCCCAGGGCACCCCGCTCCCCCAGGCACCCTACCTGCTCATCCCAGGGTGGGCATCCGGCTCCCTGCTCCGGGGGTTTGCTGGGACTCTGATGCCCCCACCATGGTGGTGCCAGGGACCCCCACAGGCCCTGGGTCCCTCCTGTCCCCTGTGAGCCAGAGCCCCCGTGCCCACCTGCCAGGAGGACACGTCTCTGCCAGCTGGTGATGTTCCTCTGTCCTGGGCCTTGGCAGGATGGAGGCCAGGGATGTCCCCATCCCTGTCCCTGCGCTGGCCACGGAGCTGCAGTTCGCCCAGCGCCTCAGGTGAGCTGGCCAGGGGAAGGGGGGCCCTGCGGCTGCTCTGGCAGGGTGCAGGTAGGGAGAAGAGCTCACAGGGCTGGCCCTGCACATGGTGGGGGTCTCTTCCCTGTGGTGGGTGGGCTGTGGATCTGGGGAGGGCCTGACTGTGTCTTGGCCTTGCAGGAAGCATTTGGAAGAAGAGCAGCTCCTGGATGGGCGCTACCGGCTGCAGGAGGTGCCGGGGGGTCGCGTGGCCCTGCCAGTGCTGGAGGAGAAGCTCTCCCAGCTGCGGCTGCCCCAGGAGATGCCCTGTGGGCTGGTCCGAATCCAGGTTGGGAGAAGCCCCCTTCCCTGAGTCCCACCATGGGGCGGTGGGGTCTCAGCCCCCATGCCACATCCCTCCCGCAGGACCCCCTCCCCTCCAGGGCAGCCCGCCGGCAGACACCTGCCCAGAAGCTGAAGGACCAGCTGCGGCGGCTGCTGGGCCAGAGCTGGTCGGAGGAGCTGGAGCGTGACGTGCCCCGCTCCTGGCAGCGGCACGGGGACCTGGTCCTGCTGAGCGAGGACAGCTTCAGGGCTGTGCCATGGGAGAAGCTGGGTAAGAGGAAGCGGGGGTCTGCCTGCCCCAATCCTGCCTGCAGAGCTGCTCCGGCCTTTCCCAAAGCTCCTGGGATGGGTGCGTTGCAGGTCCAGCTCTCTGGGAGACGGTGGCCTCGGCTCTGGGCGCTCAGCGGGTGGCCAGGCGAGGACGGGTGTTGCCAGATGGGATACGGTCCCCCAGCGTCACCTTGCTGCTGGGCCAGGATGGCTGGGTGGAGCACGTGGACAATGGGATCAGGTAGGCAGGAGCCGCCGTGCAGGATGCAGCCGGTGCGGGGAAGGGGCTTCCCTCACCAGGTTGACGGTGTCTCCCAGGTACACGTTTGATGTGACCAAGTGCATGTTCTCACCGGGCAACATCACAGAGAAGCTGCGAGTGGCCTCACTGCCCTGCTCCGGAGAGGTCTTGGTGGATCTCTATGCAGGTAACAGGGACGATGGAGGGTTTAGCAGGACAGGCAGAGAGCAGTGATGCAGGTACTGATGCTATCCAGGTGGATGTGAAACGTCATTTCTAGCCTGGACTGGAAAAATACCCAGGCTTAGAGCTCCTGCCTCATCTGTGAGCCCTCAGCTGACCTGGCACTGCTGTCCCTCCTGTGCTCCTGATGCCTTTGGACACTTAGGATGACCTTGCGCTTAGGCTCTGCAGAACACTGCTCTGTACCTAGTGCTGATCACAGGAAATCATTTGGATCCAGGAGATTGATTTTTCCTCAGTATTGTTTCTGAAAAGCTCCCATAGATGTCTTGATCCTGTTCTGATGTGTTTTCATGACAGGCTGGCACTAACTAAAGTGTCCTGTGCTGTGAGATGACTGGGGAGATCACATCAGGGGTTTGCATGTCAAGAGAGCCGCTGTTTTGTCTTAGGGAAGTTAGCGCTTCCAATTTGTGTCACACACCAAGGATGTGGCACTCGCTAAACTGCTCTGAACTAATTAAAATAAATGGTAGTGGGGGCACTTCTGCACAGAGTGGAAGCAGGGCAGGGCAGGTCTCAAGCTAATGGCCAAAGACTGAAGGTAAAATAAGTTCCTCTGTAAACATTTTTCAAGACAGATTCTGCTTTTGCAGAGTAGGGAGGGATGAATTTCCATTTTCCCAGCATCTGGGCTTGCTCCCACCCAGAGCAAAGCAGATTCAGAGAGCTGGGGTGGCAGTCTGCCCACAGCCTGCCCTGCCTCTGGGGCAGACCGTGGACCCCCGGACCCTGCCCTCAGCCACTGCCTCCTCCTGCCCCCAGGCATCGGCTATTTCACGCTGCCATACCTGGTTCACGCGGCAGCCGCCTTTGCCCACGCCTGCGAGTGGAACGGCCACGCTGTGGAGGCCCTGTGGAGGAACCTGGTGCTGAACGGCGTGCAGGACCGCTGCCGCATCCACCATGGGGACAGCCGGCAGGTGAGCAGTGCCGCCCGGCCGCGGGCCCCCCGGCCCCCTGCGCCGCCCCCCTCACGTC